TCCCTACACACAATACTCTCTACCTCTGGAGGTTTGGGGCTCACCTGTACTTCAGCCTCTCTCTCTTGCCCAAGAGAGCAGGGAAACTTCCATTTATTCCCCAGTCCAGCCAACTGTGGAGTGGCTGAATTTCTGCTACTCCCAAAGACAAAGACTGCCCTGGGACAGTCCCTGTTTTCCCGCACTTTTTGGCCTTGGGGCAGCTGGGAACTGTAGGCCAGCAGATGAGGCAGCCCCATTCAACCCCTGCAGGCCCTTCTCTGGAACTACAGCTCAATTAAACCTTATGGGGGAACATTTTAAAACAAATAACCACAGCCATCTTACAAACACAGGTAACTGCCATTTCGTGACACCTACCAACAGCCACTGAGGGGAAAGTTAGTCCCACACAGGAAAAGCATCTTCGTCAAGAGAGAAAGCCATTTGCCAGTAATTCTGATAGAGCACAGTGGCTGAAGGGGGAGTGGGTGAGGAAAAGGAGCAGACCCAGCACCTGGCCAATGGCACGCGAGTACTCTTGAGTGGCAGCTGACGGGCCAATGGCTGAGGGAGAGCATGGAATCTTGCCACCCCAAAACAGGATTATTATATAGGAGAGATGTTAGATTCAATAATGGTCTGCAAGAGGTCACTGAAGCTTCTTCCTGACAAAATAAAAAGGGACAAATGAACAGTCAAGTTCTGATGAATAACTCTGAACGCCTCCCAATGGACCTGGTTTGCAGACAAGATGTGCTTCTTGACTTGTTGATACTTCTGGATGTTTGTTCAGATAGCAGCTATTACCAAGAGTGCCTTAACCAACAGTCTTGGTATACTGAGGCCCTGGTCATACGGCAAAGTTGCCACGGGAGGGGCACGGGAGTCCTGCTGATTTTCCGGGCGCGATCACACCCCAACATCTGGGAAGCGCAGTGCTCCCGTGGCTCCCCGCCGAAGGTGCGAATTAAAAAACTAGTACTTACGAGGTACTAGTTTCTGGAAACCGCGGGCCAAGGGTGGGCATCTGATCGCGTTTCCGGTGGACTTACGTGGCATCCGGCGCCCGTCTCTACAGGTGGCGCAACAGCACCCAACAGCGCATGCGCACAAAGAGCGATTGCTAGTGCGATCGCGCAGCGTGGCTTCTGTGCCATGCTGCAGGATACCCGTCTGGTCGGCATCTCCCCCCTAACCACGGGACCTCGACCAAAACGTGTGCTCGGGCGGCCGCGCGTTAGTTTCCTCTGGGGCAATTAGCCACACCTCCCCCCTGCAATATCCGGCCCGTGTGACCGGGGCCTAATAAAGTCTTTCCCAGAGACATATGATCTTGTCAGAATTACATAGTCACATATACCCTGTTGACTGTCAGATGCAGCTATTGTAATGTACTGTATGTGTGACTTTTTATCAATTATTGTTGTAAATGTTTTGATTGTGAGCTGCTTTCAGAGTATTCATGATTTTTTTTTAAAAAAATACATAATAGAGGGCCAGTGTTACCTGAACACTGTTATTTGGCTTTCTAAGTTGTTTGCTTTGAGCCAAGAGGAAATGCAAATATTTTCATTAAAAATAAACAGGAAGCATTGTCTGTGTATGTGCTTCATCTTTCATTTTTATATAAGGAAAGTAGTTAGCCATCTGTATAAATATTTTAAAGAAAGAACTATGCTTCTTTTTTTTAACTTACAGAAAGTGCTTTCTGCTTATGGAAGGGCTTCTTTCTACTTCATGGTAGAGCAAGGTCAAATAAGATTTAGTCTATGCAAGCATTAGAATGATATGGGAACTATGTGGGAAGTGAATGGTAGACTGCTGGTGCATGATCACATGGAAAATATAAAATATGCACAGTTGGTTAATAGGTTGTATAGAAACCTTCTCATTGCTGAACTAGTTCCCTGTAAGTTTGTAATGCAGAGGAGTATTCAAAACCACAACTGATTACCTGTAGTTTGAGGGCAAAATCAGATGTGATGCTGGGAGTTCAGTGAATGAGTTTCCAAGTGTTCTTTTTCTTTTAAAAGACAGACATACTCAACCTAGGTCTGTCTGTTACAGCTGCTTTCACATGCCATATGAGAAAAGCCATGTAGGAGTTCTGTTATGGAACTCCCATGGAATGGTGCAATCTAATCTATCATTTTATTAGCAACTCATCCTTTTGAATGTGTTTCCAAGCCTTAATTGAGAGCCAGTTTAGTGTAGTGGTTAAGTGCACGGACTCTAATCTGGGAGAACCGGGTTTGATTCCCCACTCCTCCACTTGCACCTGGCTGGATGACCTTGGGCAAGCCTTAGTTCTGTTGGAGCTGTTCTTGAAAAAGAACAGTTTCTGTCAAGAGCTCTCTCAGCCCCACCTACCTCACAGGGTGTCTGTTGTGAGGAGGCGGAGGGAAAGGAGTTTGTAAGCCTCTCTGAGACTTCTTCAGGTAGTGAAGGGCGGGGTATAAATCCAATCTCTTCTCCTCTCTCTCTCTCTCTCTCTCTCTCTAAATTTAAACTCATTCTGAAAAAGAGCTTGGATAGCATTTTGCACAGTCTGTTATTGCACTGTGTGAACTTGTGTGCAAACTGTTCCACAACTGTTTGCAGAATGGTGCTAGTGGCTGTTTCCCTTCTTCTCACTGTTCTTTTGATCATCCCAGAGAAACTAAATTTTGTTACTTGTAACTGCTGTACTTTGTGAGTGGCCCATGCAGAAATCATTCAGAACTTACATTTTATAGTTGTCTGTCCAACTTATGAGTCTTAAACTCAGTAGACAATCTTCTGTCAGGGTGATAAGTGGGAGAAGAGGTCTCTCCACATTGTTGCTGTGACTTGTGAAGGATTTCCTGTATATTATGATTTTGTGGACCACTCCTAAAGAACAATTGCAGGTGAGGTAGGCACCTTTCCTCTCTTTAAGAGAAATATATCTTCCCTAGGATACCACAAAATGAAAATATAGGGAACCAATGATCTATAGAAACTGCAAAAGTCTTTCAGTAAGAAGAAACTGCATCATCAGGTAAGATCTTTGAGCAAAAAGTAAATTGGAGGGTCACATGATTTGTAGCTAGGATACATTGGCTGATAAAAGAGCTACTCCATGTAATATTTTGTGATCTACTTGTTTTGTTTCACTTTCTCTTATTTAGTGGTAGATTGGGCATGGAACTATGCCATAAACTGGCTAACACTTTGCTGTAAGAATAGACATATGTTAAATTCCTAAAATATTACGGCATCTTTCTCATATTTATACATTGTATGCAAGTGACTTTACAGTTTGTCATACTGTGTGTAAACAAAATACTGTGAAACCTGTGTTTGAATACTTTTGTTAAAATTACAATTACAATGGTGAGACAAGTACGTCAGGCACTTTAGCTGAAGTTGTCCTTCTCTGCTGGTAACCAGAGCTAACCAAACCTTCAATATGAATTAGCTGCTTTGTCCCTACAGCCTCCCTAAGCTTTCCATCTGAAACCTATCCTTTTCTGTCTTCTCCCTTTTACTTTCTTTTTACTTCATTGTTTATCCATCACCGGCTGACAGTGTCTTTACATCCAAAATGCAAAGCAGACAGATGGGCGCTTCTGGAAAGAACATAACTAAGAGCACCAGCATCAGTGGGGAGATGTACACGCTTGAGAAGAATGACGGCAGCCAGTCAGACACAGCAGTGGGCACTGTGGGTACAGGAGGCAAAAAACGACGCTCCAGCATCGGTGCAAAGATGGTAGCCATCGTGGGTCTTTCACGGAAAAGCAGAAGTACCTCACAGCTCAGCCAAACCGGTAGGAACCTAGACTTTTTTCTCCAGCATTACGGCTCACTTGCATGAATGTACTGCTGAAACGGCATATTTACTAACTAGAACAGCTGAGTGAGTTTAAACTTATTATCTTCCAGAGTGTTTATCAACCCACCTTATTTAACGCAAATGTTCTTCAGATTGAACTGCTGTGGCTTCAGTTATCGTGCTCACCGGGCCACATAGAATGTAATGTCTTTTCTTCTTAGGAACAACATGGCTTGGTGTGTTTATGTTGAGGGCCATTGGTTTATGAAGGACCATTGAAATGCAGCTGGTATAATTAATTCTTTGGATTTTTAATCTAAATTCATATTGCAACTCTCCACTACACATTGCTTTCGCAAGATTGTATATTGTATTATAGGTACACTAAATAACAATTTCACTTTTCATTTCCTTTTATTTCTTTCAGTTCTAATACATAGTAATAATTGCATTTAACCATCATCGATGTTTACAGGTCCTAGTTAAACTATTATTCCACGCTTTAGATGCTGTATGATAAATCATGTCTTCTAAATGATCTAGAAAAGAGGGAATTTTTTTGTACTGATGTTTATGGCACATCTTTGTGGACGACAGAGTTGCACAAATAGCAGGAAACTGAAAATGTTTAATTCCCTAAAACATGTGCATTATTTTGGCATATTTTGAAAAGGAAAATAGGTATGTTTATATGGGTTTACATACACAAAGGTTGTCTACTGTGCTGGTCATCATCCTTTCAAAATTGAAAAGCAGTACAGGTGCGTACTAGCTTGGTGTTTGTTTTTTTAAATATAGGGTTTAAACATATAACACTCTGCAGAGGACCCAGGCTTTGCCATGAGTGCTTTGCCATGTATGGCAAAGCAATGGTAAGAAATAACTTTAACAGAAACCATCTTTGGCATTCTCAATAGGTTTGTATTACTTGCACTGCAGTCCTAAACAGAATTCTTCCTTTCTAAGCCCATTGACTTCAATGATTTAGGAGAACGTTACTCTACCCAGGATTACAGAGTTAGACTGTCAAGGCTGCTCTACTCAGTTTTAAAGTTAGCTTTCAGTAATGCCATTTTGTTTCTATAGTTCTGTACTCTCAAACCCTCTCTCCTGGTTATGTGAAACTATGTTGACATATACAATATAATTTTAATCAGCACTGCTCATTTGTAAATGTAATTATATAGCATTAAGCTATGTTTGGTTCTTAATGTATACCACTAACCTCTTCCTTCATGTAGACTTCTGCTGAATGGATAAGTTATAATTAACCTAAGGCTAGTTAACGAAGTGTACATAAAGCTGGGTGCACATAAGCTGTACAGTCTTTCATTGCTCTGAACATGGACAAATCCTTCTTTAATATTTACCTTTCCATTTTAATAAACATTACAAAACTACATGGTAATTCTTCTGCAGAGATCCACTACACCACAGAGTAGCTTTAAGTTTTTTTGGGTTTCCAAGTCAGTTGTTGGATTTCAAGTAAGATTTAGTGCATCTGGAGCTGAAGAAGACTCGTATTACTTTGCTGTTCTGAGGCAGATTATTAAGGCCTTTGTTTAAGAGGGAATTTAATGAAATGTGAAATAATTATGTGCTATTGAGTATATCAATATATTTTAATTTTTTAACTTTTAAATGTTAACTTTAACTTTTATTAATTGTTTAGACTCTAAATTGATATGAAGTAGTTTTTGGAAGCCTGCTCTTCCCCTTTTAAAGCTGACACTCAGCTGGTTTATCTGGCTGTTCTAGCTGCTATCTAAGAACATAAGAGAAGCCAGTGTTGGATCAAACCAATGGCCTATCCAGTACAACACTCTGTTACACAGTGGCCAAAAATACTAGGTGCCATCAGGAGGTCCAACAGTGGAGCCAAGACACTAGAAGCCCTCCCACTGTTGCCCCCCCAAGCACCAAGAATACAGAGCATCACTTGCTCCAGACCGAGAGCTAATAGCCACTGATGGACCTCTCCTCCATATGTTTATCCAATTCCCTCTTGCAGCCGTCCATGCTTGTAGCCGCCACCACCTCCTGTGGCAGTAAATTCCATTTGTTAATCACTCTTTGGGTGAAGAAGTACTTCCTTTTATCTGTTCTAACCCGACTGCTCAGCAATTTCATTGAGTGCCCACGAGTTCTTGTATTGTGAGAAAGGGAGAAAAGTACTTCTTTCTCTACCTGCTCTATCCCTTGCATAATCTTGTAAACCTCGATCATGTCACCCCTCAGTTGTCGTTTCTCCAAGCTAAAGAGCCCCACGTGCTTTAACCTTTCTTCATAGGGAAAGTGTTCCAACCTTTTTATCATTCTAGTAGCCCTTTTCTGTACTTTTCCCAATGCTATCATATCCTATTTTTCCAGTGCTATAATATTCTGAGGTGTGGTTTCTGAGGTGTGGTTGCCTCCTATGTGCTTCTCCAGGCAACAAAACAAGATTAGTATATGCAATTCTTGATATAGCCCTATCTGTGGATACTTAAATGCAGAGACAGGAGACATGAACAGACTAGACAGATGTCTCTACAAACTTGAGAAAAGCCTGAGGTTTGCAGAAAAATCTGAACTTCCCTCCAAAATAAAAATATGATGGGGGGTTAAAACCCCACAAAATAATAGTAGCAGCACCTGTAACTTTAAGAAACTAATGCCCTCTGTGGCTACTACTAAGCAAGCACAGCAATATTGCCACCCTTCAGGCCTTTGCTTCTGTCAATAAAAAGTAGGGGGAGGGGCAGGCCTCTTTCCAATAAGGGAAAGATGACTGCAGGGAGGCAGATAAAGGTAGGATTGCTGGTTTGTGGGAAGGACAGAAGGAAGCAGGAAAGGGGGAGAGGCTATCAGAGCTATAAAGAAATAGTCTGGGCGGGAGACATTAAATATCCCCTTGCATGATCTAATTATGAATTTATTTTGTGTTTTACATAGAATCTAAAATTTAATTAATTTGGGTTAAATTCATTTAGATGCTGAAGTTTTGTAAGTATGAGTAGGTTTTTGTTCAGTATCATTATAAAAAAGGTAAAGGTTCCCTTGCTCGAAAGCCAGTCGAATCCGACTCTAGGGTTGCGGTGCTCATCTCCGTTTCAGAGCCAAAGAGCCAGCGCTGTCCGAAGATATTTCCGTGGTCATGTGGCCGGCATGACTAAACACCAAGGCGCACGGAACGCTGTTACCTTCCCACCGAAGTGGTACCTATTTATCTACTTGCAATTTCTTGCTTTCGAACTGCTAGGTTGGCAGGAGCTGGAACTATAGATGGGAGCTCACTCCATCATTATACCACCATAGAAATGTCTGCCCTTTTTGTTCAGAAATGTTATATTTTGGAGATTAGTCATTTGTATTTTAAAGCAGACTCGTGGTGAGCATTGTCTCCACCTCATACAGTGTGGCTACCTTGGGAAATAATTGTCCTCTAATAGAGAGTAATAAAGATTAAAGATGGTGCAAAAGGAAACTTTAAGTAATCTTTTGTTATTACCAGGAAGAATGTTGTCAGTATTATTCCTTCAAGTTATAACGAAAATGTATATTGTAGTTTTTAGGTGCTGTGTAAGGACAAAATACAGTGTTTGTTTTTCATTCATTATTTGTTTATTTGGGATAGAACCAAGCGCTGTTCTTTTCTGCTGTCTGACACATTTGCTACATGAGAGTTTGTTATACTTTCTGCTCTTACCCTTTTGTACTAGCAGTGTTTTATACATCATCTTAGTGTAATACAAACAAAAGCAATGATCATGCCCTGCAGTGTGAGGTAAAATAGCCCATAGTATGAACCATAGTCTGACCAGTGATATTGTTTCATAACTGAGTCATAAGAAATGTGTTTTCATTTATATTCCTTTCCAGTGCTACTCAGTGTTAATTAGATAAACAGCGGAAAGAAATGGTAATAAATTATGCCAGGATCATGTTATACTACGTAAAAGAAATACTTGAATTCTAAATATTTGTACTGTGAAATATGTGCCCATTATGACAGCATAACATTGCTGCTACTTCACTGTAATCTGCTGGTCTCCTAATGTACATACCATCCAAACTATTTATATGCAATGGACCAGAGAGAAGCAACATCCCTGACATGGCAAATAAAGCTAGATTTGTGGTTATTTATGGAGACAGGAGAGTTTAAGGAGTCTGTGGTAGTAAATGATTCCCAGTAATAAATTTGGGCTGCTGAAGTCACCCTCTGTCTTTGCCCAGTTCTAGTCTGTGTTGAAGCACTGCTGTTTGTGGTAAACACTGTTTCCCCCGATATACTACCTTAATCTGTACCATCTGCACTTTCAGATTTGTTGTAAAACATTTCTTTCAATGGTTTACCCCTATGTATAAGAGCTATTATAAAAGTTTGGTTTACAATTTCACTAATGCTCCAAAAATGGTAATTTGAAATAATAATAATAATAATAATAATAATAATAATAATAATAGTTGTTGTTGTTGTTGTTAATAGGCCGCCCTATCCCAAAGGGCTCAGGGTGATGAATAACAGGTTAAAATATACAGTAAATTAATTACAAATTACCAATAAAATCAATGACATTAATTGATGGCTTAAAGTGCAATTTGCTCCCTCCCCTGGGCAGATCAGGGATTGGTCATGGAGGAGGCCACAGTGAGAGCCATAATGTAGGCTGTTGCTTTTCTCAACCGTAGGTCGGACAGAACATCTTTGTTGTACATGCCTTGTGGAACTGAGCTAGGTCCCGCAGGGCATGGATGTCACCAAGCAGAGAGTTCCACCAGGCTTGGAGGATGGTCGGACATCTCTTGGGCCAGGGACCATCAGCAAGTTTTGATCTTCCAAAGAAAGATTGTAGTTTTAACTTCCATGCCATGTGAGCAGTACATATATTATACAGTCTTACATTTTGTGGTTCCTTACAACTTAGGTTCCCCACAACTACACTTTTCCTTGCAGTTTTATTTTTTTTTTCCAAATTAGTATCTCTGTTAAATCTGTTCCTTCACGCTAGT